TACTTCCACTATAAATGGCTTATGCGATTTGGCTAAAGAAACCGATTAAATCATAAAGAAAAAGTTGAAAATTGTTTTAAATGTATAAATGATTAAAGTAAATAAAAAGAGGGAGTTTATAATTAGTTAAGTGTGGCGGTGCGTCATTTTAGTGTCAGGTAAGGATTAGCATTTCTCAGAGAGTGAGAAATTTCAGATGAAACCAAATTAGGCATTTTGTGAAACGTCAAATAAGAACTTGAGATATGGTTTTCTGTCTTCCAAACGAAGATAATTTACTTTGAGTGTTGGTATGGTACTTTTATTAAGAGTAAGCTACAGTTTTTAACCTAATGGTAATGCCGAAGTTAGTTTGTTTATATTGCCTTTTAATGGATTATTCGGTTCATACAAGAATGTAATGCAATGATTTAAACTAAAGCTACATAATTCATATCTTTTCATCTTTTGTTTAATGATCTGAGAGTTTCGCACTTATATCTTCATACACATACATCTGCTTATTTGTTTCTCTTTTATTATTTTCGCATTTTACTCTCACTACTATTCACTTGCTATCTTCAGCAATTTTTGCATTTTTGCCAAGAAATTATTGTAATTTGCTTTTCCTTCATCACCCCCTCATTAATGGTCATTCAAGTTGATCAACCTTGACCTAATGTGAAATTTAATATCAAGTACATATCGGTCATATGAGATAGGCGCCTATCAACAAGCAATCTCTAATGAAACTTGGTTTATCAATAATGCATCACACAAAAAAGAACAACAATAATAACACATTTATTGCTACACTTCTTTGGTTGTTTGTTTTGTTATTTTTATTATTATTATTATCATTATTGCTTCTTTCAATTTTATACTGGTGCTCAGCACAAAAATTCAACCGGTATATGTGTGTGTGTGTTTGGTGAGTAGAGTATCACCTACCATTTATTGTGAGAACAAAAACAAAGAGACGCAATAAAATAGGGCCATACAATGTAAACAAAAAAAACAGCAACAACAACTGTAAACCAGTTAATTGTGGGTGTGTTCAAAAGAGGTGCACTCATTAAAGGGAGCATTAAATGCTCACACTATACCACACAATACCGCTGTAATGACAGTAAGCAAGAGAAGTACAGAGTTATTGATTTAATGAATTTGCAAATGACTTATTTGTTTTTATTCCAGGGAGCAAATTTTGTTTTTTTTTATTTCTAGCTGAGCACTAATGTCTTTTGAACTACAAGCCTCAATCCCTAGGGCTGGAGTGGGCAGGATAATGTTGCAAATCTTGACGGCATAGGGAGAAAGGTAGTCAAATATTCAGTGTATGACGTGATAGTCGTCACTACTTTAGCGGTGCTCAAGAACGAAAGCTCGCTCACCAGTCTATTTCTCTTTGCTTCTAGAAATTGTCAAGAAATCAGTGTTAAAACATTATTTTTTCCTTATTTGTTAATTACATTACTTAATCAATCAATACTTCTGGACCAAATTTAAAAACAATTGAAATAAATCATAGAATATAAAGAAAACAGAATATTAATTTTCTCTTAAATGTTCTCTTTTGAGAACTCATGTGTTTAAGCAGGGCTGCTATTTCTAGATCTTGTATATAAACGAAGGCCTTAAATTGCACTTTAAACAGAATAATGAACATATAAAATTGTCGACTACTAGAATATATTGACCGTATCGTATTACAGGTTGGGATGATATGCTTTAGACATTAAAATTTATACGTTTTTAATCTGAATCAAACTATCCCTTAGTACTTCATATTAAATAAAAATGAAGTCATTTCTCCGAAATCGCTGCAAAATGCCTTTAAAGTACACTATAAAAAGACAATCTGGGGTATAAGAAATTCCAAGTGGATTTGATAGCATTCCGTTTGCCGATCATACCCTCAAGAATGTTTGGGGTTCTCAAACTAAACTTTTTAAGGTCCTTAGTACAAAACTTTAATCATACAATGTTTTGAGCTATATTTCATAGAATTTAATATAGCTTTGGATTACTTCAAGGATTACTGGTATAAAAAAATGGGTCACGTTGGCAAACAATGTGTATAAAGTCCACATAAGGGTAAACTCCGATATCAAGAATTTTTCTCTTCAAATTCCGCCAAACATTAGTATTTTGAGTTCTTAAGATATTGAAACCCTTTTTGTCTCGGTTGAGGCTTAAAATGGACAGCTAAAACAATTGTCAAATTATCAGTAATATTTTATTGTATAGCGTCCACATAAGGGTAAACTCCGATTTCAAGAATTTTTTCTTCAAATTCCGCCAAACTTTGGTATTTTGAGTTCTTAATATATTGAAACCCTTTTTGTCTCGGTTGAGGGTTAAAATGGACAACTAAAATAATTGTCAAATTATCAGTAGTATTTTCGAATATTTTATTTAATTAAAATTCATAAATGCCAAGGAATCACAATCCGACAATTTTAACAAAAAGTTGAAGAAGGCTGATCTTTATTCCTCTATTTAGGTTACTTTGCAATGTTACCACTCAACTTGGCCTTACTTTCATAATCTACTATGATTTTCCTGTATTTTTATAACCTACACCACAAGGAGGTAATATTATTATGTCTTTGTGCATTTTTTTTTTTTTGTAACAGGCAAAAGGAAACGAGATAGACCTACAGTTCCTTTTGATGATCTGCATAGAATCACATTCTGAGTCGAGTTATGCATGTCCGTCTGTCTGTCAATGTATTTTTGTAAACAAAGGTCGAATTTAGGATGAACCCAATAGACGAATAGGTCACCGAGTGGAGTGGTTGTTTACACAACCACGCATCCTTTAACCTATCCTAACAGGCCACACTTATTGCTGCTGTCATTTCTAAACCACTTGACCGACAGCTGTTAAAATTATTTCAGTGACAGCTGATTATATTGTTTACAAGCATACAAAAGCATTTCGGTGAGGATTTTCCAGAAAAAAAAGTTATTCGTGATGGAATTCAAGCGTGATAGTGTGATTTCTTTATATTTGGCTGGAAAACCACTACTGGCTATCTTTAGAACACTCCAGCATTTAAAAGTGAATTAAATTTTTCGTTCGTTGCCGTGATACTGGTAGCGCAGCCCGACGTCAAGGAAGTGCAAAAAAAAGAGAGCGAAAAAGTGGCTTCGCCGAATTTGGTTTTCTCCGATTAGAAAACATTCATTGTCCAGCAGTTTGTAAACAAGCAAAATGATCGTGTTTACTTGCAAAAGAGGTCAGCTGAAAATGTGCACCTTGGGTTGGCCACCAGAACTCAGGCGCCGGCCATGGTGATAGCCGATGGTCGCTATCCACTCGTATTAATCGACCGTGGAATCAGAATAAATGCCTTGGGTACGCAAACATTTTGGCCGCAGACCTTGGACATACCAACAGGACTCAGCACCATTGCATTCAGCACGCGCCATATCCAGCGCACAATTTCCACCAGACTATTGTGTCTGGAGTATTTTGGAAAGCAGGGTACCGCAGATACCAAAAATAGCAAAATACCGCAGACCAACGTTCGGACAGCGTGTGACCGTTTTATTTGAAGGCTATAATTCGTGCCAAAGTTGACCAATTCGAACAAATCTAAACTTATTCTAAAATTTGATGCGGAAATTTCGGAATTTTTTGCTTTCATGCAATAAAATGTATCATAAAGTCGGCCCGCCCTGATACAATATTTCCAATGATCTTTGGCGGGTGTCAGTCTCCAAAAGCGAAGAGAGATTTGACTTTTAAATGATAGATGTGGGCAGCCTTTGTCCGAAATTTTACAAAGCGGCTATGCGAGGCACTAATTGTAAGCAGGCAAATACCTAATATCATTTGAAATGACTTTGTGGTTAGTTTCAGACCTTCAAACTCGTTTAAAGCATGTGAATCTATAATATCATTCGAAATATTTGCTATGATCTTTGGTGGGTAACCGGGATATTATAGACTTGATTTTTAAATGATAGAAATGGACGGCTTCTGACTATAGTTTTACTAAAATAGGATAGGTAATTAAAAAAGATTTTTAATTAATATGATTTTACTCATATTGTATAGGTTAAACTGATTTCAAAGCAGACCTTCGATTTAAGTCTTTCCGATAACAACAGCGGCTACGCGAGGCACAAATTGTATGTATAACCCTAGTTGCGTTCTAAATATTTGCTATGATCATTGCTGGGTGACCGGCCTTCAACCGGAGTTACATAAATAACTTTAACGTTAAGTAACCATAACCATAATTTTACTAGAATCTAAAATATGAGAAATATTTAATTGTATTAATTTTACTCGTGATCTGTACATATTTACATCTGATTTTAAGGTATTTTAAACATCAAACATTCCTTCCTTATTAGTCATACCTTATGTACCCAAGTTTAATTGTCAAAGCTTCTTGAAAACGGCCACTTAACAGACGGGGCAATATTTGCAAAACCGGTTTGGTAATGAAAGAAAAAAATAACAGTGATCCTGCCTTCAAAATCCACTATTCTCTACATTTTCTTCTTATAAGAATGCACAAGAACGTGATGTCAAACAGGAATCTCCAATGCCAACCTTTATCGAGACATGTCAAGTTATATTCATGTGCACCATTCATGGTACACAATTTTGAGACCACCATTGGTTTTTTTTAATTTTTCAAATAGCATTCTTTTTATAGACTCCCCATGTTTGAATCATGGATCCAATACTAAAAGGAAAAACAAATGTAAATACTCGCTATGAGTATACAGCCCTGTCGGGGCACTAGACAAGTACATTAACTTCTAACCGGTACCATGCAAAAGGGGTAGTAATCCAAAATCCTATTGGATTGCTCTTTATGGGTTTTTGTTAGCAGTTTCAAGTATTCCTTTCAAATACAGGGGGTGCTTTATGTAGAAGTAGAAGTTGAGCACTTGTCTGCAATGCAAATGAGAATTACTTTGTTAAGGGATAAAAAATAAATTTTACATTATTTACCAGCTAATAAATATGTATGTTTTTTTAAAAATAAATTTACTTTTTTTGCTGGTGCCTCGATGCGCGTGATTATAATGCACGGGAGCACGTCGTAAATATATTTCTGCTGCAGTTGTGTTGTAATATTTACATTTCTTGTTGTTGGTGGCTGGCTGGCTGGTTGTCTGCTGTCGTCGTCGGCTTTTTTGCGATATTGCTGATTTTTCTTCTTTTTGATGTTATTATTATTTTTGCTCTGACCACTTTACACTTTTAGGTGTTTTCTCTTGTGCTTGTTTTATTTCTTGTAATTTTGCTGAATTTTTGCTGTTGCTGTTATTATTTTTTTATATTTCACTATGTTTCCATCTATCACTTGTTTCTTATATGCCCTCACGGCGTTTTTTTCTTTTGGGTTGGTTGCCTCGTTTGTTTGCTCACTCACTCACACGCTCACTTTACAATCGACGGCTGGCTACGGCAAACACACAAACACATGAACGCACACGTATACTTTGGTGCCGCACCACAGCAGTAGTAGCAGCAGCAGCAGCAAACATACAATAATGCAACAACAAACACCACCAATAAATATTCCAAAAGAAATGAAATTTACACAGGTGATTGGCACTTTTTCTTCAGAAATTGCACACAACAACTATAGTAAAACAGAATTCCACACACAGAATTTTTGTATTTTTTTTGTATCGGCTATGGGTTTGCGTTGAGGGTTAAAACAGAATTTCTTTCTTAGTGGATTTTATTTATTAGCCTCACTCACTGGTGCTCATTTATATTCACATTCGCACCATCCCAAGCAATCTTCATCATACATGTATAACATTTCAATTCCCAGCGAAAGGCCTTATAATTCTTTACTTTTGTCGATTTTTTATTCACTTTCCACGATGTCAACGAAAGCTACCGAACTGCGCGAGTATTTTTTTTCGACCAAGGGTTGGCGTTTTGATATTAATAATTTATTTATTTTTTTTTTTAATTTCTCACTTATCGACCTGTATGTACTGGCGTTCGCGTTTTTGACTTGACGGACCGAACAAATGTTTACAAATGTAGAAATGGTTAATGTTTCGTTGATGGTTACCCATTGCCCCGAAATAACCGGTAGTCGGCCAGTTTCCATTAAAAAGTCTCTCAGTTATGCTCTCTCCTATGAAAATGTGTGAGAGTATTGTGGAATGTATTTATTGTTGCCACATTGTATTGCATTTATAGCTAAACCACTATTTACACCATACAAATAAAGACAAGTTCTAGGGAATGGAGCCCTTTTGTAATGTTTGTCCGCATTAACCCTTATAACATGTTATGAGTTTTAGAAGGTGGAAGTAAAACCACATCTATACAAAACGTCCTATCTATTTTAATAGTGCATTTATATATTATTAAAGATAAACCCACTGGATTTATTACATTCAATTGGTTAAACTTCTGTGTTTAAATACACCCTTTGGATCATGGTAGAAGAATACAGGCAGTCGCATCGACACAGCTGCTGGGACAATGAACTGTCAAACCGATTTTGGAATTAAAAATCTTGAATGAAAAATTATTGAGATTTGTAAAAATTGTTGAAAAATACATATCATTACAATTTCCGATTTGCGTCGTATACGAAAACATATAAAGATCTAGTTTTTTTTTTCCAAGCGTTGTTGAATCTACCTATATTCTTCTACCATGCTTAGGAGGATATCATGGCAGAAGAATGCAGATAGATGCATCAACGCTTGGGAACATTGATATGTCAAAAAAAAAATAATATATTTTTAAATACAAGTAGATTTTTATATGTTTTCTTATATGACATCATTTGGATGTTATTATAATTCGCGTTTTTTAACAATTTTTACAAATTTAAATAATTTTTCATTCAACATTTTCAATTCCAAAATTGGTTTGACAGTTCATTGTCCTAGCAGCTGTGTCGATGCGATTACCTATATTCTTCTACCATACTTAGGAGGATATTAAAGCCACTCTATTTACGTTTACACTTTATTTACGTTTACATACACAAACAACAGAAAATACAAAAATAGCCAAAATGATAAAAGAAACGTAGATTGATATTGAAAACTAAGTACTTATTCACATTGGTGACTATCTCTAATGCATCTCTCAATGTATAATCATGAGCAATTACAATTGTATGCGTTTTGTTATTATTGGAATGCGAAATGTAAAAAAACCTATACCAATTTAAAAATCCAGGGATGCTTTCCACAAATATGTGTATTCTGCACCGAATATGAAGTAAATCTGACCGTAAATGAATCTATTTATGTATGAATAATCGAGTTGGAAAATCCAGATTAAATAACTTTTCTGATTCTGATAATGTGGGCTAGTAGACCCCACACATGATTTTAAATAAATACGGTGGTTTAAATAAATCTGGTTGAAAAAAACTAGATTAAGCAATTAATCCTGTGGGTTAATCGGGTAAAGTTTTTTATCTAAACGCGCTATAATTCGGATAAAATTTTGTATTTGAATTTGATGATAACTAATAAATTCGCTTCATGTTATGGAATATTTTTTGACATAACATAAAGGGATATTGGATCTCTACTGGAATCTTGTCGGCGTTTTCCCTTAGCTGCTTATGTATCTTCACCTTAAAAATGCTAATATCCACGGTACAGTAAGAAGGTAGAACAGCTTCGTAAAAATACAGCTCTCAGGCTATGCCCGCTTACTGTTAGAACTATTCAAAATTATAAGCAAGAAGTTGTTTTCATCTATTTGTTATTTTTCCTAATTTTTAAATAAATTAAATAATGTGAAAAATGAATAAAATTCCTTGATTTTTAAAGATGATCCGAACTATTCAATTTTTCAATTCCATGGCAAAATTGGTCAATATCTTAAATATGCGACCTGCAAGGTATGTCACTTCTAATCATGGTAGAATTAAGAAGGTGAAGTCAAGCAACTATATATTTACAGGTTCAAAGATTATAGTGTTTTCCAGGGATAAATTTTGCGACTTAAAAAGCCATAGACCTATTGGCAAACAGGAACAATGAAATTAATGGCCCGCTGTCTGTATACATACGCCTACAGTCAAGCGACACCGAATATTTTAAATTCCTTTACCATTAAAACTATGGCAGTTGTGGAGTACAATATTCAACATTCCAGCTAATTAGAAAGCAAATTAATTGGCAAGAAAGGGTTCTGAATCAATTGACATTGAAGTTGGGAACTTCGTTAGATCACCCGTGTGACACATTTTTGTGCAATACCGAAACACTACTCCGAGTGATTCCAACAAAAATGAAAGGGAATATAATGTCCCGAATAAAAGCTGGTCTATAATCTCTGAGAAGACAACAAGATTTCTGGTCTCCATGGCGAAACCTGACCTAAAACTTGTTTTGGGTATCATCACAAGTCATTGCAGCTCGAGAGCCATGACTTCTAAATAGAGCAGCGCACTAAACTGGGACTACTTTTGGATGCATTGGTAGCTACAGGGTGAGGTGGAAAAACTGCAACCAACTTCAGACTGCTGTCAGTTTTAAGCCACTCCTCCGACAACTGTTAAAATTATTCAAGCGACAGCTCTTCATATTGTTTACAAGCGTATAAAAGCATTTTGGTGAGAATTTTCCAGAAAAAAAAATTATTCGTGATGGAATTCAAGCGTGTTAATGTGATTTCTTTATATTTGGCTGGAAAACCACAAGTGGCTATCGTTAGATCACTCCAGCATTTAAATGTGAATAAATCTTTTGTGTCTCGTACCATGGCAAAATGAGGTTCCTCGCTTCATTTCCAGCGCACAATGGCCGCCAAAATCTCCGGATAACAATCCGTTGGACTATTGCGTCTGGAATATTTTGAAAAGCAAGGTTGGCACTAAAAAATACCAAAATGTCGATCACCTCAAGCAAGCTCTTCGCCGGGAATGGGCCAAAATACCAAACTTGACCAAATCGAACAAATCTTACCTTATTCTTAAATTTGATGCTATTTCCGACATTTTCTGCTTTCATTCAATAAAATTCAAAAATAATGTAAAAGTCATGGCATTTGACTTTGTTGCAGTCGTTTATATCACCCCGTATTGCATAGATGCACAAAATGAATATTGCGCTTGTGTGTGTGTGAGAGAAACTAAAAGCACGCAAAAATATCTCCCTCTTGATTTTGGACGTTTTGTAACAAGAAACGTGCTTTAAGTTAGAAAAATTATTAAAAAACATTAAATATAAGCTCCATATATTTATATTTTTCTACAAAATCTATCTATAATTTGTTTCATTAATGTTAACGAATAAACAATGCGTGCATACCCCACGCATGTCTACATTCATTGAAGTCTCATCAACGACTGAGATCACCGCAAACGTACTGTTTTGTGCATCTATGCCGTATTGCAATGTTTCCTATTCATCTTCTCTCAAAAATCGATGATTCTGCTTATTTACGACGCATTAAGAAAAAAATAATTTTCATAAAACTAGAATGCAGTCTTAAATAAGTTTTTTTAGTGTATTTATGTCAACAGACTATTTTAAAAACTAAAAATTGTTCCATTTCAGCTGCGCCAAAACATCAGGCGCATCTATTTTTTCATTTTACAAAAAATATATCACTCGTTTGGCTTAAATAGTTATAGAATTAGTTTTAAAACTCTCATTTAAGAAATTAGATTACCTTTTTAATTTTGGTTTTGTTTATTTTACCTTTTTTTAACAAAATTACTATATTGGAAAAACCCCACAAAATATTAATGAAATATTGAAAATTTTCCACAAAAATGAATCAAATAGGGGACAATGTTGTTTCATCCAAAATAATACATTTTGTTGCCCGTTAACGTGGAAAATGCGAATTTTTGTTGCATCTAAATTTAAAATAATTTCAAATTTATTCTTTTTAATTCAAAACAATACACATACAAAAATTGTGTATATGTTTTGACAGAATATGGGCACAAAAAGAAAAAAAATGTATTTACGGGCTATCTTTGTTCTAGTTTTTATATTTGTGCTATGAATAATAATATAATCTCTTCATTGTATGGATTAAATGTGATATGGCAACGCTGACATTTACAATTTGACATTTTGACAATTGAGTGTTTTGTTTTGATTCCAGAACTTTATCGTTATATTCGACTTACCTCAACTTTCTACGGCGTCTTTCATGACGCCAATAAACTCTGTACTGTGAATTCTTCTATTAAGTAAGGTGTGAAATTTTTACCGGAAAACAATAACAAAAACAAAAATATACACACTGTATTTAAAAATAACACAAACACGTTCTGTTATACAGATTTTCAATAATAAAAACATTAATTAAAACCACTTCCAAGGAGGCAAAGCAAACAGCCGACGGAATATGAACATTTGTATGAAGTTAACAAAGGCAACAGCTGTCATTACTGAGGAGGAGCACCAGGAACCGCAGGGAGATTTTCACATATAATTTCCCATATTTTAAATATGCTGTGAAAATTGGAGCAAGGTTAATTGATTATATTTCGATGACATTGTAGCTAAATAAGACCACTAGTGTACATTTTGCCGGCAAAGAATTGATGTCTTAGAAAGAAATAGAACTCACTGACAAAATGGCAAAAGAGTCGTTTCGTGAAAGACAAATGCAAGAACTGGAAGCGATAAAGGTAAACATCATAGACTATGCAATCGCACAAATACACCCAAGTATATACATATGTTTGTATGTTGTTGAGTAGGGTTATGTTTCATTGAAGAATATTTTGGTTTTAATTTGAGACGCAATTAATTTTTATGTTGTCTTCTTTGGTAGTCAATTTTTGGCAACGATGTTGAAGATTTGCGTCCATATAACAGCAGTGCCACACCTTCACAATGGAAACCAACGGATATTCGAATTATGCTGACACCGCTGAGAGATTCATCGAATGGCCAACCGGAGGTACATGTTCGTACCAAACTTCATGTGGTGTGTCCCTCCAAATATCCAAAGGTGTAAGTGTAATCATTTTTGTAATTGTGATAAGAAAAGAGCTCAGGAAAATACTATTTATTCCAATTGGAAGAGTTTTTTTTGTATCCTTTTTTTATTTTAAATCGAATTCAAGATTTTAAATAGAAACAAAATATTTTTATGCATATTTACATTTATTATATACTTATATGAAGAGCAAATTTAAAAAAAAAAAACATGTTAACTATATCATTGGATTGTTAAATTGAATATTATTTGAAGTAGTTTCCCGATGTTATTGAAAAGCTTGCGAAGGTCCTTTTCAGGTGGTATCAATTGAAACCAACTAAAGAATTTAAAAAGAATGGATATTAATGAAAAATAAATACTTTTCGAGATATTTTTCTTAAAAATCTCTGTTTTAAATAAAAAATCATGGTTTAAAGCTGACTTTAACTGTCTTTGTCAAAAAGTTCTATTAAAAGGAGAATCTTGCTCCAGTAGCTCAATGATTTATCTGCCCCAAGACCGACTTTTGCTGCTATTCATAAGGGACCGTTTGTAATCCATAGATATTTACAGTAAAATTCCAATTTAAAATAACATTTTTGCTTGCGTAGCTTTGTTTTGTATTGTGCAGGGTGAGATAAAAAAACTTTAATTTTATTGAATGAAAAAAAAAAACATGTCGGAAATACCATCCAATTTTGAAATAAGTGAGGATTTGTTCGAATTGGTCACCCTTGGCACGAATTATGGCCTTCAAACGGCCAATGAAACCGTCACACGATGCTCTGCTGTATTTTGGCTCATTCCCGGCGCGGGAATGTCACCATACTTGGGTGGCGCGTGCAGTGTGCGATGGTGCTGAGTCCTGTTGGAATGTCCAGGGTCTGCGGCCAAAATATTTGCGGGCCCAAGGCTTTAATACACCCTACAGAATATTTTCGCCATAATATTCGGCATTTATTCTGGATGCCACGGTCGATTAATAAAAGCGGAGAGCAACAATCTGGTGGCCAACCGAAGGTGCACATTTTCAGCTGGCCTCTTTGGCAAGTAAACACGATCATTTTTTTTTGCTGGACAACGAATGTTTTCTCATCGGAGAAAACTAAATTCGGCAGTTCACCACTTTCGGCCAAGCGAAGCAACTCTTTAGTTTTTTTTCGGACGAGTGGCTTAGAAATGACAGCAGTCTGCAGTTGATTGCAGTTTTTTCATCTCACCCTGTATTTGACACAAGACCGACTTTTGCTCATGTTCATAAGAGAACGTTTGTAATCCCTAGATATTTACAGTACCTTTTTTTACAGAACCTTTTTGTTTCCGTAGCCTAGTTTTTACCTGTCCACAGGAGTATCTGCCACCGAAATTCAGTCTATTCCATGGGCAGACCGACTCTTGTATTCTTTACTTGTTTCAAATCATTGAAAAGTACCCATTGTTACCTTTTAAACGACATCAATATTGTCTAGTTTAGAGAGTTTTCAAAACCCCTATCTCAGAAAGTATGAATTTCTCATTAATAACCATAATATTATTGTAATCAAAATAATATAGAATGCATAAATATATGAGGGGTGACCTGAAGGGAACTTGAAGCAATAAAAATATAATTTTTATGCCGAAAAAAATGATGGCAACGACTCCTCTCCAAAATTCAACTAGGCAGGGTAGCAAATTTAAAAAAAAAATCAGTTTTTTAGTAAAATCATCAACATAGGTTATTATCCTGAATTGAAGGCTAGATATTTTAAAAAATAAGCTTAAATTATTTAAATAAATATCAAAATTTTAATTATTATCTGATTTTATTTCTTAAACCGTTTCAGAGCACCCAAAGTCACCCTGGAAGAATCGAAAGGCATTTCGGATCAACTAATAGAGGAATTACTCCAAGAATTGCAGCAACAATCTCAAGAATTACGCGGAGAAGTTATGATCTATGAACTCGCCCAGACGGTACAAGCATTTCTGCTGAAACACAATAAACCACCACGTGGATCTTTTTATGATGAAATGTTACAACAAAAACAACAACGGGAACAGGAGTTACTTGATATGAAAAAACAACGTGAAAATCAAGAGAGACAAAATCTTATCGAGGAGGTTGAGCGGCGCAAAGAAATGTTTAAATCAGAGGCAAAACGACGTGAACCACGTCGCAGTATGAGCGAGTCGAATCATCGACATCCCAGCTCCTCGGAAAGTTCGGAGAGCTCGTCACCATATTATCGTGGGCAAATCTATCTCACAAGATGTGTGGAACATCGCAATAGTGAAACGTTATACTTCCACAAAGTGGGCCGACAAATAAGACGCGGCAGCTGTTTGGGACATTCACAAAAGGGCTGTATTGCCTATACAGGAATCGATATTGACACGGGTCAATTGGTCTACATCACTGAATGGAATATAAAATATTCTCAAATTGAACAACACTGTGGCGGGAGTGGCAAATGCCTATGGCTCACTTCCGAACCAAAATGTTCGGGCAGCCATCGTGTCGATGATATTATTGCATCGATAGAGAAACAAGTTAGCATTTTGGCCCAACTACATCATAAGAATCTCATCCAATATGAGTGTGTGCTGTGTATTAAACGCAAAGAAGGATTGTTGGTGTATTTGGTGCAGGATTTTGTATTTGGCACAAGTGTGTTTAGCATTTCATCAGCCCTGGGTTGGTGTATGGATGGTGTAAGAGGTGTGGCCAAAGGCGTATTGGAGGCTTTAGTGTTTCTACACAACAAAGGTGTTTCGCATAGCCATCTATTGGACACCACGGTGTTTATGGATAATAGTGGCACAATAAGAGTAACTGATTTTTCAATAGTTACAAATTTGTTGGAACTAATTGGTGGTTCAGGAGAGAGATCAACCCATGGAGATTTGCCAGCTTTGGGAACCCTGGTGGACAGTTTGATGAGTACGCACACACCAGAAATGCGGGATTTTATTGACAAGTAAGGTGCTCCTATTAACGATATTGTTTAGTATTCATTGAAGTGACAAATATTTTATCGTAGTTTGGATGTGGATATAACATTTCTTTTTTCCTATTTTAATTTGTAACTATTTCCATAAAAAAATCTTATTTATATAATTAAGTGGAATATCTTACAGATTGAGTCTTATATTATGCTTTTAATTATAGTAACACCTCTTACTGCGAATCAATTCAATCTCACTTATTAATTGAACCCCTGTGGCACTGCAGCCTATGTGAAACCTAATCTGTAACCATGTTCTACGATTTTTTCTATTATTACGATTGAAATCTTAAAAAATCTTCTGAGAATTAGACAGAGTGTATTTGAGAGTGTTAGAGTAGTCATGAATAGAAGTTTTTGGAACCGTCCATGGCCCTATGGGCTAGGTTACTGTACAAATTGAAAATAAATAAAAAAATATTTATTATCAACTGGTTTATGAACAATTCATTTGAGACAATTCACAAAAACAGAGATAGGATGTTTTTAAATATGTCGAAAACCTTTTTTAGTACAGCTAGAATTGCTCTGCCCTTTGGTTTTATCCCAGTTAATTCTTCCATATTTTGTTTCCTTTTATATTTTCATTCGAAAAAATCCTTTACTTTGAATATTTCTCTAATAAACAGAATTATCAATTTTAATATCTCCAATACTCGATAACATTCCTTAACTACTCGATCATTCTAATAAGATTACCTATTTTTTCAGATGCCATTCAGATCGTACATTATCCGCATCCGAACTTTTGGAACATCCATTTCTCCGTTGCTCTCTGTTCACAAATGAGGATAAAGAAAATCAACATCTAACCATGGCGCTGACCACATACAAAACCAATGGCGGTGGTGGCAAACCATCTTTAGCGGTAGCTCCACTAAATTTAAAGCAACGTAACAATGTAACAGCACAACCAACCACACCACAAGCGTTAGCACCATTTTCCATACCATCTTTACCCACCTCACAGTCTCGGCTACGGACGGAATTTGAAGTTCTTATGTATCTGGGCAAGGGAGCTTTTGGAGATGTTCTCAAAGTGCGAAATATACTTGATAATCGTGAATATGCCATAAAACGTATACCGCTACCGGCACGTAGCAAACAGCTATACAAGAAAATGACGAGGGAAGTGGAATTGTTGTCACGACTAAATCATGAAAATGTAGTGCGATACTTCAACAGTTGGATAGAAAGTGTCAATGAGGAAGATGTCGAAGAAATGGATAAATTGGTGTCCGGCGATTGGTCCATGAGCGTGGAAAGTATTAAACCCCCGAAATCACCGCAAGTCACTAATGCTACCACAGAGACTGAAACGGATTCATCAAGCCTCTGGAATGGTTATATACCACATATGGATGATTCCGATTCGGATGGAATTGAATTTGTTGATTCGAATGGCGAAGCGGCAGTATATGATGATGAAGATGATGACGATGTGGATGAAGTTGATTCGGAAATATCGAAGGTACTATCGCCAAAACCCATTATGCAAATCATGTACATACAAATGGAATTTTGTGAAAAATGTACCCTTCGAACGGCCATCGATGATAATTTATATTCAAATACTGATCGTCTGTGGCGTCTATTTCGCGAAATTGCCGAAGGCCTGTCACACATTCATCAACAGGGTATTATACATCGAGATTTGAAACCTGTTAACATTTTCTTGGACTCTCACGATCAAATTAAGATTGGTGATTTTGGTCTGGCCACTACAAGTTTCTTGGCATTACAATCGCATCAAGAGCAAAACACACAACAAAATCATGCTTCTCAAATAACGTCCATGGAAGATGGTACCGGAACAGGCAAAGTGGGTACCACCTTGTATGTTGCCCCTGAATTGACGGGCAATGCTTCTAAATCAACCTACAGCCAAAAGGTTGATATGTATACGTTGGGTATCATCCTATTCGAAATGTGCCATTCTCCATTTGCCACAGGCATGGAGCGAGCTGAAACTATTATAAAACTACGGAGTCCCAATATTGTTATACCAAATTATATGCTAACAAATCCCAAAAATGAAAAGACTGTAAAGGTATGATTTCAAAATCTACAACCTACGGAATAAAATCTAATAAAGGTCTTTTAATTTCAGCTCCTGCGTTGGCTTTTAAATCATGATCCCTCACAAAGACCCACGGCTGAAGAATTATTGGTATCTGATCTACTGCCACCGGCCCAGCTAGAGGCCAGTGAATTGCAAGAAATGCTGAAAAATGCTCTGGCCAATCCACAAAGTAAAGCCTACAAACATATAGTAGCACGTTGCCTGCAACAAGAAAGCGATGAGGTTTTGGAACACACCTACCACATGGGTGGTAGTCGCGCTATGAAATCCTGGAATACTCCAGTTGTTCTTGAAAGCCTGGTAACTCTGAGTCCATTGATTGAATTTGTCAAGGGCAAGGTGGTTTCACTGTTTCGTAAACATGGCGCCATTGAAGTTGATACACCGCTAATGTCTCCTTTAACTAAACACACCAATCATTGGGTAAATCCGGTAAAACTTATGACACACTCTGGTTGTGTGGTAGTTTTACCAAGTGATTTACGCACTGAATTCGCCCGTCACATCGCCATGAGTGGGGTGAATATGATACGACGTTATTGTGTGGATCGTGTATATCGTGAGGAAAAAGTGTTCAACTTCCATCCGAAACAAAACTACGAATGTGCTTTCGATATCATTTCACCCCATTCCGCAAGCCATTTAGTTGATGCCGAGCTTTTATCCTTGGCCTTCGAAATAGCTTCGGAAATCCCAAATCCAAGGGAAAAGAATGTGATGATACGCATGAATCACACCAATCTTTTGCGAGCCATACTCCTATACTGTAATGTACCGAAGGAAATGTATGGAGATCTTTTTGCTAGCATATTGGATTACATTGAAGGACGTATATCGAAATTTCAGTTTCATTCGATTGTGAATAGCATTATGGAAAAATCCCGAACATCGGGTTCGGCTCTAATTGATTTATTGCTGGCAAATTTCCAAATGAGTGGTAAAAATAGTGCCGATGATTCGTCGCTAAGATCTTTGGTAAAAGGTAAAGGAGAGGCAGCTTCTCTTGCAAAGGGTGCGCTAAGAGAAATGGAGTCGATTGTTTTGTTAGCTCAAAGCCTGGGTGTAAAATGTCCGATACACATTTTTGCTGGTTTACCCATTAACTATGAACGAGCAGCTGCGGGTGGCCTAATATGGCAAATGATTGCCGATGTTAAGCCAAATCGTTCATCCCGCCCATCTGTACTGGCTGTGGGAGAACGTTACGACAGTATGTTAATGGATTTCCAAAAACAAGCCCAAGGTTTCAATCCAAATTTACCGAATCGTTGTATAAGTGGTGCAGGCCTTTCTTTCTCCTTGGATAAACTTGTGGCTGCCATGGGCTCGGAAGATTCCCAAAAATGTCGAACTATAGATGTGGGTGTATGTGTCTCGGGATCGAGGCCTCCCCTTAAAGATGTTACATACATTATGCGTCTGCTGTGGTCAGCTGGTATACGATGCAGTTTTATCGAATCGGTAACATGTAGCGGTGATGAATCTCAAGATTTAGCCAAGCTGGGGGCTAGCCATGTTATATTGGTTGCCGAAAATGGGGCATTGCGTATTCGGTCGTGGGAAAGGGAACGTTTCCAAGAACGTCATGTTACCCGTTCAGAATTGGCAGATTTTATACAAAAATTATCGGTGCGCCAAGAAAACAATTACAACGCATCCAGCGAATATTCCGTTCAACAGACAAATACAAATTATGGTGGTTTTGGCGGTGGAGGTGGCAGTGGCAGCTATGGCAGTCGTGGTGATAATGCCCTTAGTACCTCGGCGTCGGGTACAAATGTTAAGAATATCATAAGTTCAAGCAGTCTCAGTAATTTACCGAATATACAAGTTATATTTTCTTTGACACAAGATAAACTGTCGGCAAACTATCGTAGACGTTTGGAGAATCAGGTGAGTGATGGAAATTGTTGTTGTTTAATTTAAAAGAAATATTTAAAGAATTTGTTTTGTAGGTAACACAACAAATGTCTTCAACTCTGGCACAATTTGCTAAAACAGAAAACATTGCCGTATTGGTTGTTGAGTTATCACCATGTACATTAAATGGCATTGTAGCAGCTATTAATCCACGAGCTGTAGATCGCAAAGAGACTGAACAAGAAATTAATAGCGTAATTGATAGGTGAGTTATCAAAGGTCGATTGCATTTGGGGGTGTTTATGTTTTACGCCTAAAACTATGTACCAAAAGTCGCTGAGCCCTATTTTGTTTAGGTTAAGCTTATCCTTTTCCTGGCATTCTTAGTTTCAATTGAAAGAACTCCAAGCTCATCCGTCGAAAATGGGATTTTCAATGTAGATCCTCGCTTTACATAAGCAGATGTTTTTCGCACATAATTTTCAGTGTTTGACTAGAGCTTGAATTCAAACAAATATTCAAACTGCATCCTCAAAACTTTCCAATACAATTATAATGAATGATTTTTTTTTTTATTTCAGGTTCCCAAAAAATCGTCGATACATTTCAGATATATGTGAAGAAATTGTAGATTACATTACCGATTCGAAAATAACCATAGTTGCCTTATATAGCATAACTGATTCATACTATCGCGTTATAATATGAATAGAAAAGAAGAGTGTCGAATACAACACATCAACTATTGAGGAGTGTCATAATCATTCAACTAGATATTGACATGGCAACTACTTTAAATACATGATTTGAGATGCTCGAAATATGGTTATCCTTACCTAAAATATCCTATTGACGAAACGGTCCTTTCTGAAAGTTTCACATCGATTTTTTACATTTTACAAAAGGAAAAATCAACAAGAAACAATACCCACAAAATCAACTGGTAATATGGCTGTAACTGCAAAAAATGTAAATTGTCTCCACCTCTTAAAAATAATAAAAAAATAAATTTATAAATTCTATTTAAAATAATCATATCTTCCAATGTTAAATATACCATAATTTATAATCTCAATATAGAATTTTGTATAAAAAAATGTTTAACTATTCCTTAGCTATTTGAGTTTGAGAAATAACCATTGTTGAATTACATGTGAAATTATTTTTCATTTATTTTCATAATTTCAAAATATTGAAAAGTTTCATTTTCGCATTTGCATTTCCAAGACTTGCAAAACTTTTTATTTTCATTTTTTTCTTTAAGATTTTTATACATTTCTAAAGATAACAAATGTAAAACATTCATTTTTTTATCGAACAAAATCATAAAAAATAAAACAACTATTTAAAATTACTTAGAATAACAAATATTATTTATACCTATTTAGTTTTTGGTAAACAAGGACTACTATGATCATGAGGATGTAGATGGTGAGTTTTCATTTTGTACATCGTTGGCATTGGATTTGTTAAGGCTACGTATAATGCTGGTAGTGGGTTGTAGAACTTTACGTGAGAGACGCATAAAACCTGAGACAGGATCACGGCCAAAGTATTTCACTTGAATTTCTTGGCCAACTTCAAGGCCCAAGGCAGAGGGATGGGCAACCTGCAAGAAAAAGGCAAAGGAATGAATGTAACAATAACTGAAATGGCCTCACGCATTATTACTTTTCTTTGATCCAATTGTGAATTATGCAGTAAAGCTGGAGGCATGTTATTATATAATATGACCATAACTCCAGTATCACGTATTTCCGTAATTTTTGCCGTATAAATGCCACCAAATTCTAAATCAGGTATTCTTTCCTTCGGCACTAAGAATGTATCAATCATTTCCTTGGCTTCATGCATTGCTGACTGGGATGGTGCAAACAGAGTAAATGTTGTCTCATCTTCAGTCGTTGCTGTACAACCGGTTTCAACGTAAAGCTTTTTCAAATTTATGCCACCTGGTCCAATTAACTGGGCCCGTTGTTGAGGTTCCACGGTAATGCGCTCCGTAACTGGCCAACAATCTTTTTTCACTTTTCTTGGTTCGCGTATTGCCTCCCCCATTATGTCCAATATTTTTGCTTTGGCATCGGTGGCTTTTTGTAGTGCTTCCATAACAACTTTTAATGGAATGCCTGGTATTTTCAAATCAGCTTGTATTGCAGTGAAACCTTTACGAGTACCCGCAACTTTCATATCCATATCACCTAGATAGTCTTCTATGCCCAAAATATCGGTTAAAATACGATAGTCTTGTAAGTGTTTGGTGTCATTATTTTCATATTTTGTCACAAGACCAATGGCAACACCGGCCGCAGGTGATGAAACGGGTACACCGGCGTCCATTAATGCCATAGAGCCACCACAAACAGTTGCCATAGAACTGGAACCGTTCGATTCGAGCACTTCTGATGTCAGTCTTACAGTAAAGGGAAAATCATTTGGCAGTGTAGGTACTAAGGCTTTTTCCGCTAAGGCTCCGTGTCCCAATTCCCTTCGGCCAACACCACCAACGCGGCCCACTTCACCGGTGGCATATGGAGGGAATTCATAGTGTAACATAAAGTTTTTGGCTTTTACTCCACTGTAAAATAAAAAAGCAATTGGTAAATAAAATGAAAATTTAGTAAATTATACAAAAAGAAAATAACATACGCAAATATCGTCGATTCCTAGATATATATATTTATAACCAATGGTTCTTAGCTTATACAAATATATATGTAGGAATCGACGATATTTGCGTATGTTATTCTCTTTTTGTATAATTTACTGAATTTTATACATATTAAATGAAATGTTATGACGATTTCAACGCTCAGATCAAATTGAACTTTTTACCTTTCCAAAGCTGATAAAGTATCCAGTTTCATGGCAGATTCTTGGGAATCTAAAGATACAGTACAGAACACTTGAGTTTGGCCTCGTTGAAATAGAGCCGAGCCATGTAAAGGTTTATACAAATCCACCTAAAAGGTAAGTGATATATTTTTTAAATATTTAAATTATTTATAAAAAATGTCACTTACCTCACAGCTAATATTTCTTAAACTATCAAAATCACGACCATCACATCTGCGATCAGTTTCAAATATCAATTCTCTAAATATCGTTTTACAAAAACGATTAAACTCGTCAGTTATAAGGGCTGGTTCGGTATCGGGATAGCTGGACCACACCTTGTCAATTACATTTGTGCGTACATCATTTACAGCCACATCACGGGATATTTTGTCATGACTAGCATCTTGGAAGATTTCACGTAAACGCATTTCACTCATGCTACGCACTGCAGCGGAAATTTCCTCACCAACTGTGGTGATTTGTTCCAATGGTCTCTTCTCTTTGCCATGAAGTTTTTGCAGACGTTCAATTTCTGAAACTATACTTTGAGCTTCTCGTGTTCCTTGCTTTATGGCCTTGAGGAGATCCTGTTGCAATACTACATTGCCCTTGCCCTCTAACATAACGACGAGATTTTGTTTGGTAGCTGATACCACTAAATCCAACTGGGAAGATTGAAGTTCACGGCGTGTGGGATTGACAATTATTTCACCATCACAAAGACCTAATCTGCAAAAACAAAAAATATAAGTTAAATACTTTTAGGTTGTTAGAGATTATGTTTTACCTTACAGCTCCAATGGGGCCATACCACGGTATGTCACTTAAACTTAAAGCCAATGAAGAGGCATTCAAAGCCAACACATCGGGCGAATATACAGCATCCATGGCCAACATATTACACACCAATTGGGTTTCTGTTCTATACTCGGCGGGGAACAGTGGTCTCACAGATCTGTCAATAAGACGAGCCGATAAAATTTCTTTTTCCGATGGACCCATTTCACGGCGAAAGAAATTGGTTGGAATACGACCAGAGGCTGCTGTTTTCAAACGATAATCCACTACAAGAGGTGTGAAATTTGTGCCCGGTGTTGGTTTTTGCTTTGAGACAGCAGTTACCATAACAGCCGTATCGCCCATTTCACACACGGCAGTGGCATTGGCGAATCGGGCATATTTGCCCGCTGTCATAATGAGATTTCGTCTGTAATAGAATACAAATTGAATTTCAAAGAAATAAACAAGATTTTTTTTGCCTGCATAACTACTCACCCATTTGAAAATTTTACCTCTAATTGTGGTCCTTCTGTGTTGGATGTATGTAAAAGGTTTCTTGGTGTAAAGGAATGATTACGCAGTCTAAAGTTGAGCAGTTTCAAATAGTTTGTGGGATACTTCATCGCTAATTTAATTTACGAAATCGAGAATTGTTATAAAATAATCCCAAGCCGTCAAAGAAATTCCTCCTCACCTTCCGCAACACGACAACAGCTGATTTGTGGCACATGGAACGATTTTAATAATATAACAGTGCCCTCTGGTGGCAAGAAAATGTGAAATGCTGAGAATGTTAGTGGTGCCATACAACATTAAAAAGCGTTCGTATAACATAAAAGCATGTTTACATATGCGATTTAATTCAAAAGTATTTTTTTACACTCCACCCATGGTAGAAGAATATAGGTAGACGCGTCGACACAGCTGCTGGGACAATGAACTGTCAAACCAATTTTGGAATTGAAAATGTTGAATGAAAAATTATTTAAATTTGCAAAATTTTTTGAAAAACGCGAATTATAATAGCCTCCTTCTGACTTAGAATAAGAAAACATATAAAAATCTACATATATTTTAAAAAACATTTCAATTTTTTGACATATCAATGCTCCCAAGCGTTGATGCATCTACCTGTATTCTTCTGCCATGACTCCATCCATGGTAGAAAAATAAATTGGAAACATTGATATTTCACAATTTTTAAAGTGTTTTGTCAAAAATATGTGGATTTGTATATATTTTCCTATACGACGCTAATCGGAGGTTTTTATGATATGTACTTTTTAACAAAGACAGTTCAATGTCCCAGCAGCTGTGTCGATGCGATTACCTTTATTATTTTACCATGCCTCCACCATAGTATGTACGGTATATTAAATTTATCATTCATAACACCTCGAACCCCCACAAAGCATATATATTCCTGATTAGCATCAAATTCTATGTCGATTTAGCGATGTCCGTCCGTCTGTGGAAATCACTCAAGCTTCCGAACGAAATGAAGTAGGTTGATAAAATTTTACTCAAATTTGTATTATGTCTGCAGGATTTTTGGTATTGAAAATGGGTTATACCTCCATACAATGGTACCTCCCTTTTTCGGTATTTTGTTGATTTTAGCGACATTATTCACCGGAATTGTTTCAAATTTGGTATTAGAAGTTCATAATGGATACTACAGCCTAAGAAAGAAAATTGTCTGTGAAGGTCCACATCTTCGAATAGCCCCCATATAGCTGTACCCCCCGATATTCGGTATTTTGACGATTTTAGCGACATTATTCAACGGAATTGTTTGTTGCGTAACACCTGATACAGCGCTATGGTGGGGTTTCATCTAGCTCAGTCGGGGCACCAGTTTAGGGGTGAATTCCCAACCCTGCCACCATCAGCCCTAGGGGTCGAACAATCAAAAAGGAACAACATGAATTTACAACAAACAAATCAAAATAAAACGACGAAACACATACGACCATAACACGGGAAATTGGCGTTAATAATTCCCACACTTAGCCCGCCCAACCTTGACCCTTAGATCCTCATCCAAGATTTCGATTCAATTTATAAGGGCCCCGTTTTCCACACACACTTACCTTACTTCAACATCATCCTATTTTCCTCCCTAACAAAAAAACACTAGCAATTCATATTAATCTAAACACTTAGACATTAAAACAATTTATTGGTTTCATTATTTTCTTGTCAGAATTCTAAATTTCTAACAGTACGTTTACATATAAAGGGGTTAACCTACTGGATTTGGATTAAACTTGTCATATCCATTACCTATACTTCAAATAAATCCTCTTGAAGTAGGTTAACCCTACAAAAACCTCTAACATAAACATGACATAACACCTGACACATCGATAAGTCAACACCTCGGACTACCACCTTATCCTATTGAATTTCGGTCAACTCGGGGCGCTTTTCTAAATTATTTCCTCACCCAAAAGAGCTCTCTTATGTGGTTCTAAGGGACATTAATATTCGATCCCACAATAAATTAATTTCTAATAGGATTTTCTGGGATAACCCTACACTTGTCGCATTCTATCTGGCGTTAAAAACTTTTACAATTCTTTTTCAGATTTTCTAATGTTTCATTTCCATTTCTCCCTTTTAGATGTTAATAATCACTCAGGCTCTGGGCATTAATATTGCAAACAACGTTGCTCATCGCCGGTAAGTAGATCTTTTTTCTTTTAAGTATTGTTACCTGGTCAGCATATACAT